TAGGAGCAAGAACTTCTCAAGAGTATATGCCAGACGAAAGGGGTATGTGTGTTACGTGCTGTTCCACACACAGCTGGCTTGCATTCCCACCAGCACTGAACTGGGCTTCCCTTTGTTGCCTACCTTCTTCAGCACTTAGTACTGCCAGCCTTCTAGTTTGTCAACCAGGTGTGTATGAAATGACATCTTAAGATCTTAACCTGTATTTCCAATTACCAATGAGATTGAACCTCATTTCATGTTTCTTGACTATTCCTGTTTCTCCTTCTGTGAAATGCCTCTAAATGTTTTGCCCATTTCCCTATGCATTAATTCTTCCTTATTGATTTGTGTGTACACCATATGTATACACAATTATAATGAATTAGAAAAGCTAATGAACAGAAAAAATTACAATGTGTATATTCATCTGTGTATATATTTAATTTGGTTTGGATATTAAACATGTTGTTCACATGGGTTGCAAATATACTTTCATACTTCAGTTTGTAGCTTTTCACTATTTTTTTTTTTTTTTTTGTGGTACGCGGGCCTCTCACTGCTGTGGCCTCTCCCGTCGCGGAGCACAGGCTCCGGATGCGCAGGCTCAGTGGCCATGACTCACAGGCCCAGCCGCTCCGCAGCATATGGGATCTTCCCAGACCGGGGCACGAACCCGTGTCCCCTGCATCAGCAGGCGGGCTCTCAACCACTGCGCCACCAGGGAAGCCCAAGTTTTTCACTATCTTTTGATGAATAAAAGTTCAAAGTTTTAATGTTGTCAAAATTTTTCTTTTCTATTATGGCTATTGATTGCTTTTTGTGTCTGTCTGAAGAAGTACTTCCCTACTCCAAGATCACAAATATATTCTCATGTATAGTCTTCTGTAGTTTTTAATGTTTTGCTTTTACATTTATGTCTTTAACCATTGAAATGGATTTTTCAAATATATATATATAAAGGTCCAGTTTCATTTTTTTCCACATGTCATCCATCCTTGCTACAATGTGAACAGTCCATCCTTCCCACAGTGATTTGCTACTTCTGGCATTTATTAAGCTCCATACTTGGGTGGGTTTGTTCTGCTGCTCTATGCTGTTCTACTTGCTTATCCTTGTACCAATAAGACACAATCTTAATTACTTTAGCTATATAATATCTTTCCACATAATAGGGTAAGGCTCCCTACCTCAGTCTTCTTTCAGAACACAGAGCAGCATTAGAAGTGCACCACTCGGGGCTTCCCTGGTGGCGCAGTGGTTAAGAATCTGCCTGCCAATGCAGGGGGACATGGGTTCAAGCCCTGGTCCGGGAAGATCCCACATGCCGCAGAGTAACTAAGCCCGTGCGCCACAACTACTGAGCCCGCGCACCACAACTACTGAAGCCTGCATGCCTAGAGCCCATGCTCCACGCAAAAAGAGAAGCCCACGCACCCCAACAAAGAGTAGCCCCCGCTCACCGTAACTAGAGAAAGCCCATGCACAGCAACGAAGGCCTAATGCAGCCAAAGATAAATGATAATAAATAATTAAAAAAAAAAAAAAGAAGTGTACCACTCAGATTTCCTTTGAGAGTGAATCTGCCGCAATGGGTGGGGTTAGTTAACAGCCTCCCCCTAAAGCATCTTCTGGATCTGCTGCAGCAATTGAGCCGGTCCTTCCCAGGCAGCTAACCAATGCCCGAGCAAGGCAGGAGTCCTAAGGACTGGCCCAATGTAGGACCCTCTACAGTCTTCGCACCGGCGTTCCCTGTGGTCAGGCCAAGATTTTCTGGGCTGTGCAGCCAGTCTAAAGTTCTTCCTGCCAGTCCTTCCTTCCTTCCTTCACCCACAGGTGTAAGACCTGCAGCACACTCTGAAGGCTCTCCCTGCCTATTCCTGCTTCTTCTCTTTATACTTTACATCTCACACTTCTAGCCACATTTTTGCATCTGTCTCCTAGAAGACCTGAACTGATACAGGGTCTTGGCTGTCCTTGGTTCCTTGCTCTGCTAAATTTAAGAATCATTTAAGTTCCAAAATGAAAGAAAACAAAAATACTTTGTTAGGATTTTGACAGGAATTGCACTGGATCAATTAATCAGTGGCAGAATTGATGTCTTTATAATACTGAGTCTCTCAGTCTATGAACATGCTACCACTCTCCATTTGTTTAGGTTTTCTTTAGTTTCTTTCAATATAGCCTTGTGATTTTCTCCAAAAGGTCTTGCATATTTTTGTGAGATTTCCAGGTATCTTATATTTTTAGTTATGATTGAAATTGTGTACTTTTAAAATTCCGTTTTTCTAATCCTGTTGCTGGTATTTAGAAATATTTAAATGTTGATCTTTTAACTAACACATTTGCTAAACTCTTAATTCTAATATCTATTTACAGATGGCTTTTGGGTTTCCATGTACACAACCGTACAATCTTACAATAATGACAACTTTGTTTCTTCCTGATGCCTTTTATTCATTTTCCGTGCCTTACTGTGTGGACCCTTTCAGTACAATGTCGCAAGTGACAGCAGACATTTTTGTCTTGTTCTTCATTTTAAAGGTAATGCTTCTACTGTTTCACTATTTTGTAATGTTTACTGTGGGGTTTTTGTAGATACCTTTTATCAGTTCCAGGAAATTCTCTTCTATTCTACAGGAAGACTTAATATTGTAAAAAGATGTTGAATTTTATTAAAGGCTTCTGGGTATCTACTGATGTACTCACATTAATTTTTACTTTAATCTCTTCGTGAGAAACTTACAGTGACTTATCATGAAATAACTGAATTTTATCAAACACTTTTTCTGCATTGTTTGGTATCTTAACTTTTCCCCCTTTAATCTAGTTTATGTGGCAAACTTTACCGATTTTCAAATGCTAGGCCCACCTTGAGTTCTGGGATAAACCCAACTTGGTCATGATGCTATTTACATTTAATTGAATTGTTTGTTGACTGTCTTTAGTGTTCTTTATGTGTGTGTGTATATATACATATATGTCTTTTTTCTTCCAGTTTTATTGAGATATATTTGACACACAGCACCGTGTAAGTTAAGGTGTATAACATAATGATTTGACTTACATACACCATGAAATGATTACCTCAGTAAGTGTAGCGAACATCCATCATCTCATATAGATACAAAATTAAAGACACAGAAAAAATATTTTATCCTTGTGATGAGAACTCTCACCATTCACTCTCTTGACAACTTTCCTACACAACATCCAGCAGTGTTAATTAGTCATGTTGTCTATTACACCCCTGGTACTTATACCTGGAAGTTTGTACCTTTGACGGCCTTCATCCAGTTCCCCCCATGCCCACCCCCTACCTCTAGTAACCACAAGTATGACCTCTTTTTCTATGAGTTTGTTTTTGAAGTATAATTGGCCTACCACACTATGCTAGTTCCTGTTACACAACACAGTGATTTGATATTTCTATACATTTCAAAATGATCACCATGATAGGTTTAGTTACCACCCGTCACCAAAGATATTACATAATTATTGACTGTATCCCCCACACTGCACATTTCATACCTGTGACTCATTTATTTTGCAGCTGGAAGTATGTACCTCTTAACCTCCCTCACCTATTTCTCTATCCCCCTAACCCTCTCCCCTCTGGTGACCACCTGTTTGTTCCCTGTATCTATGACTGTTTCTGTTTGTTCATTTGTTTTTTTAGATTCCAGATATGAGTGAAATGATACAGTATTTGTCTTTGTCCCACTTATTTTACTTAACATAATAACCTCTAGGTCCATTCATGTTGTTACAAATGGCAAGATTTCAGGTTTTTTTTTTAAAAATAAAGTTATTTAATTTTGGCTGCATTGGGTCTTTGTTGCTGCGCGTGGGCTTTTCTCTAGTTGCAGCGAGTGGGGGCTACTATTCGTTGCGGTGCTCAGGCTTCTCACTGCGCTGGCTTCTCTTGTTGCGGAGCACAGGCTCTAGGTGCGTGGGTTTCAGTAGTTGTGGCACACGGGCTCAGTAGTTGTGGGTCGCGGGCTCTAGAGTGCAGGCTCAGTAGTTGTGGCGCACGGGCTTAGTTGCTCCGCGGCATGTGGGATCTTCCCAGACCAGGGCTCAAACCTGTGTCCCGTGCATTGGGAGGCAGATTCTTAACCACTGTGCCACCAGGGAAATCCAAGATTTCATTTGTTTTATGAGTAATATTCCATTTTGTGTGTGTGTGTGTGTATACATTCCACATCTTCTTTATCCATTCATCTACTGATGGGCACTTAAGGTTGCTTCCGTATCATGGCTACTGTAAATAATGCAGCAATGAACATGGGGTGCATCTATCTTTTCTAATTAGTGTTTTCATTTTCTTCAGGAGTGGAAATGCTGGATCATATGGTAGCTCTATTTTTAATTTTTTGAGGAATCTCCATACTGTTCTCCATAGTGGCTGCACCAATTTACATTCCCACCAGCAGTGCACTAGGGTTCCCCTTTCTCCACACCCTCACCAACATTTGTTATTCGATGTCTTTTTATAACAGCCATTTTGACAGGTGTGAGGTGGCATCTCATTGTGGTTTTGATTTGGATTTCCCTGATAATTAGTGAGGTTGAGCATCTTTTCCTGTTGGCCATCTGTATGTCTTCTTTGGATGAATGTCTATTTAGATCCTCTGTCCATTTTTTAATTGGGTTGGTTTTTTGATGTTGTATGAGATCTTTGTATATTTTGGATATTAACCCCTCATCAGATATATCATTTGCAAATATCTTCTTCCATTCAGTAGGTGGCCTTTCTGTTTTGTTGATAGTTTCCTTCACTGTGCAAAAGCTTTTTAATTTGATGTAGTACCATATGTTTATTCTTGCTTTTGTTTCCCTTGCCTGAGATGATATAACCAAAAAAAATATTACTAAGGCCACTGTGAAAGAGCATCCTGCCTGTTTTCTTCTAGAAGTTTTAGGAGTCTTACATTTAAGTCTTTAATCCATTTTGAATTTACCTTTGTGCATGCTGAAGAGAAAGTAGTCCAGTTTGAATTCTTTAGCATATAGCTGTCCAGTTTTCCCAATACCATTTATTGAAGAGGCTGTCTTTTCCCCATTGTATATTCTTGCCTCCTCTGTATTGGCTTTATTGATCCCTTATTACATTTTTCCCATTTTATTTATCTCTGCTTTTGTTATTACATTTCTTTTATTTGGGGAAGGGGATTTAATTTACTATTCATTTTCTTCTTTAAGGAAATGCTTATTTAGCTCCTTTTTTAGCCTTTCATCTGATCTAACAAAAGGGTTTAAGGCTATAAATTTCCCCCTAAGTATTGTTTTAACAATACTCCTCATATTTGATATAAATTTCATTAGTGAATTAAATATTTTATATTTTCTATTGTGATATCTCCAATCTATTTTATTTCGAAGTTTATTCCTTACTTTTGAAATATATGCAGATTCTCTATGATCTCTTCGTTACTGATTTCTGGTGTAATTGTATCAGCACTGGAGAACTTACTCTGTGATTTCAATCCTTTGAATTTTGTTGACACAGCTTTATGGCCCACTATATGGTCCCTAAAAAGTGTTATAAGCATGCTGAAAAATAATGTATTCTGCACTTGATGAGTGGTGTGGTGTTTGTGGACCATCCTGTTCTATTTTTAGTATCCTTACTGATTTTGTTTTGTTTACTGTTTACCAATTACTCGGGTGTTAAAATCTCCAAACATAATTCTCAATGTCTCTATTCCCCTTGTATGTCTGTATTATCCTGGTGAATTGAAAGTTTTATCAACTCCACTTTTTCTTTACCTCTAGTAAAGATACCTTCTATCCTTACCTTAGTATCTTTTGTCTGGTATTACTGTACATATACCAGCCTTCTCTTAGTTCGCATTTAATGGAGGATTTTTGTCCATTCCTTTAATGTGAAAAATTATAACCCTTTTTTTCTATTCTTGAGTGGTTATTCTAGAAACCATAAGACGCAATCTCTTTATCAGTGTCTAACGTTGATACCTTTCCTTCTCCCAGACAATGTAAGGACCTTAGAACACCCATTCCATTTACCTGACTCCTGACTCATGGCGTTCCTCCCATGTATTCTTAGTCTGCATGAGTTGTGGATGTGTTGATATATACATTCATGTCTGTGGGGGCGGGAGTGGTCATTTCTTTCTGCAGTTTCTCACCCATAGAGACCTGTCTTTTTGTGTGTCGTAATACCTTAGATTGTATTTTGGACACTGCATTTAAGAATTCACTTTTAAAAATAACTTGAGGCCTATGAATGATATTGTCATCCTCCAGAGAGGATCTGTTTTGGTAGCGACATATTCTGCTATTACTGGAAGTCCCCCTAAATGACTGTGGGGAGAGTTCAAATTACTGATTCAAGTCTTGTAATGATTACAGTATTTTTCAGGGACTTTTTTTGAGATTGTTTTGATGTGTCCACTGCCTCAGTTTTCAGATTTACTGATACCGGTTGTTACTGATATAAAGTCTCCGCTCTATTTACAGTCATGCCTTCCTGTTCGCTCTGAAAACTGTCTGAGCCCTTGCTCTTGGCAGTCATTTGACTTTGTTGCTTCTCTTGTGTCATCTATTACAGTAATTTCTACTCAGTTTTTCTCCTGTGTCCTTTGTGTTTATTCTTTTTCTAACAATTTGTATGTTAGTATTTTCTAATTGTGAATATGATTTCTTATGTGACCTATTGATTATTTAGAAATTTAAACTTTTTTCTAAATTTGGAAACTTTCTAGTTATCCTTTTTGTTGTCGACTTCTGACAAGTGCATTATAATGAAGAAAAATGATCTCCATGATACTGACTCTCTGAAATTTGATGTCTTCTCATAGCACATGATCAGTTTTCATAAATTTTCCTTTTGTGTTCAAGATATGCATTCTCATTTTGTCTGCAGAGTTCTACATACGTTTATTACATCAAGTTTGAGCTTGTGCTTAGATTCTCTCTCTTTAACTGATTTTTTAACTGCTTGGTCTCCCAGGTATATTAAAATGTCTACCATGATGGTGACTGTCAATTTCTCCTTGTAGTCTCTAAATTTTTGCTTTATATTTTTGAAGTTATCTTACAAAGGACATATAAACTAAACCTTTTATCATTAACCAGTTAAGACAGAAAATATTACCACAGTTAAAGTCTATTTATACAGCTCCAGGAGCTTCCTTTGATACTTTTCTAGTCTTTTTAATCTTTAGGCTCTCAACATTTCTGTATCTTGGTTTTAGATGTATTTCCTTAAAAAGCATATAGCAGATTGTTAAAACTCTAGCCTAATTACCCAAGATTTTTCACAGAAGAGTTCAACACATTTATAACTGGATTTATCTCTACCGCATTATTTAGTGCTCATTTGTCCTATCCACTTTTTCTGTGTTTGTTCATTTTTTCTTTTTCTCTTTTCCCTTTTGCCTCAACATATACTACTGGAGCATATATTAATTTGTTTCTTTTAGAAGCAGCTCTTCAAATTGTCAAGTTAATACTTAAGTCTAACCTTGGTCCATATCTTTACTCTCCTTCAGAATAATACAAGCTATTTAGATTGATATAATTTCAATTACCTACCTTCTATGTACTAGGCTTATAGGCAATGGGATGCCTAGAATTGCTACTTTATATCGTTTCTTCCTCCCATAAATTGGATGTGGTTTTACACCATCAATATTTCTTTAGATTTCTCCAAGTGCTTACTATTTTCTCTACTCACTATTACTTCTTACATTTCAGGCTTTGGGATCATATTCTTCTCCTTGAAGTCCATCTTTCAGAAGTTCCTTTAGTGAGGCAATTTTGGTGGTAAATTCTCAGTTTCTGTTCATCTGAAAATGTCTGTTTCATCCTCATTCTTAGATAATCCATACAGAAGAGTAGTCTGCATCAAAGTTTTCTGGAATGATATTAATAATCCAGCATTTGAGAGCTGAAAGCTGACAACTTTATACAATGGAAGTGATAAGGTGAGCACTGTCTTGACTTTCTGTAGCATTTATCAGATGAACATCTGAAACATCTTTCATATGCATGTTTTAAATGGTCTCCCTGAGAAGTGCACCTATAAGAAATGTATTTTATGATCCCCCCTTTTAAACAAGTAAATGGGATAACTATCCTAGGATCCGTAGTCCTCACTCCGGTTATTCCTCTGGCCCCATCCAGCATCCCCATTATCCGCCACCTGTGGCTCAGGATGTGCCGCTTCTACCCCTTTAAGGTTGGTTCTTTTTATAAGTATTAATTTTTCTACAGTGTTCAAGAAATCCCATTGGTATAACTTTTAGTTTAAAAGACTTTTTTATTAGCCAGGATTAATTCCTTCCAACATGTTAGATAACAAATCTTTTTAAGATAACTAAGTCTTTGGTCTGACACATTAATACATAATTGATAATTTAAGTTAATATAAAAGTTCATTATTTTTTAATCATGTTCCTGAAGAATAAGTTATAAATCTGTGAATAACAGCGCATTAAATTAGCACTTCATTTATACAGAGGAGAAATGGAAACTCCTATCATAGCCAAGGCCAGAATTCTGCTAAGAGTCGCTAAGTTTTTCATAAACACGTGTAACACACACCCAGCGCTTGACAGAGAAGGTAGCTGAATTTTCACATCTCAACAGCTAAAAGGAGAAGTCCTCTTAATTACAGCAAGAGATTGTCACTCTTACTGATCACACACTCTTATGGGGGAAAAATAAGCATATTCCCTCAACATACAAATATTTATAAATTACTTATGTGTAACATGTATTGCATGTAATAACATACAGAAAAACATAAGCTGAAAAAGGATGAACTATGGATAAAATATGTAAATATTTAAAAGTATATTAATGGCAAGAGAACATTTATTGATGGCACACAGGTAAGCGGGTATGAATGACAGTAATGTGATCCAATGTAATTTAACTTGACAGCCAATTAGAATGCCATCATTTTAAATTCCATAATGTGGCTAAAGAGCAAATACTGAGCCTAGAGGGGCTGTTAGTCTGACGCCTGCCGACAGTTTGGTTCCCCCTCAACCCACAACAAAAGTAGTTCCTAGACAAGGATTTGCTCATTAGGGAGACAATCCCAGGAGCCCCATGAGAGTGGGGAAGTGAGAGGGAAGGATGGGAGGCAATAAACAGTGAGTTAATGGACAGATTATTGCTGTACGTGACTGGGAATCAGTCCTACCAGGGCCACCCTGAGAAATGCGTCGTTGTCCTCACTGAGGGCTGAGGAAGCAGGTGCATTCATCTACCGAATCCTGACCCTCACTGCTTAAGGACTGCCAGGTTTGGGCCCCATGCAGCAGGCTCTGGCGTCCAGGGACACCTTCAGAAGTCTTTGGGTTTGGGGAACTGCAGGTAAGCTCCAGGAGCTCCAGGTATGGACAGCAGATGCTACATCTGCTGTGCCTGCATTATGAAGATGATCCTTTAAGCCCTTATAAAGAATCTTCATTAGATAAGTGAACGTACAGTTAATTTTAACTAAATAGGTTACATATAAATGAACATACCTGTGAGAACACCACTGTCAATTCTTTCCACTTTTCCCACAGGATACCTCAAATATACATGTGACATAAGGCAATCTGATATATAGGTTGAGTGAGTGCCAGGGTCAATCTGAATATCAAATATTGATATAATTTAATCTTTTCTTAGATTAAAATATATAAATCAAAGTTCTAAAATTTTCTTCCTCTTCCACAATACACTACCTTGTGTGCCCCTGGAGGTGCATGCTCCCCTTTCTGGTCATTACTGGGCCAAAGTATATACAGCCTTGTCCAGCTCTCAGCTGGAAACATTTCAATTCATTTCAGAGTATGTCTGAAGTATTCTAAATGGGTAAGAAAACACAAGTAACATACAGTTACTATATAGTTTTAGCATTTATCTATCACTTAACAAGAAAGATGAAAATTTCAATATTCACAGAACTCCTTGAATGGGTATCTTATTTCCCTGTGTTTTAAAAATTATACAGAAGCTCAAGCATAATGCAGCTCCATCTTTGAATTCAGTAAAACAGATCAAAGTGCTCTGACTTTCCATCGTCTTTGGTGTGAAAGGCAGATTGGGTAGGCTCCTTGTTTTCATCCTCTTTACAGAAATAACAGCTCTACAGAAACATTTTCCAAATTTACAGCTTCTTAAAGGAGTTACATATGAAAAATCAGAAATGCATTTCAACTTTCCTAAACAAGTATTTAACTGAATTCCAGAAATGTGACACAAAGTTAGAATATTCCACTTTATTTGGACTGAAATGTATATCTTATTTACTTAGTCTTAAAACAACTTAATATAGCTTAATTGTTATTATCACTTTGAATAATCTTCAACAACCTAGGGAAGAAGAGTCTAAGGTTCTACTGTACTAGTTTAAGAAATCCATTCTGTATAGAAACACGGTTATGTCAAGTTCCCTTAGAGTTTAAGAACTTTAGAATCAAACCCTTTTGGCCTATTAAAGATGTTTTAAAATTTGCATAATATCCTACAAAAAGACTATCTTATGATACATATCAACAAAACTCAACACCACTTTCTCCAATAATAAAAAAATGCTTTTTTAAGTTGTTACTTTTTAAATGACGTGAAACTAAAGAAAACTGGTTGCTCGTTTTGGAATCATCTTGTTTGGAGAAAAAGATTCTGTGCTTTACCACTTGTTGCCACGCCTTACACAGATAGGGTCTATAGTCTACATCCACATCACTCTGGCGATTAAAGGCACAAGAAGGCCCTTCTGCTGAGCCTGAGGTTTTCTGCATTATACTTTGTGTTGTTGCAAAAAGAGCCAACCGATACTCATTTACCAGCTTCTCTAAGAGTTGGGAACATTTCTTCAGAGTGGACTCCTGTAAGTGAACACTTTCTCCTCCACTGACACGGTCTATCCAATAAAAAGCTGACAGGCTATCTAAAATCAAAAGGCAGAGGGAGGGGTGGCTACAGAACATGGTTTCTAGCGAGTACAGTGTGAGGAGTAACTGGGTGCTACTGCTGCAGTGCACCAGAAAAAACCTCCCAAGGCAGCGTTTGATTATTTCTTCAGAACTTTCCGATAGTCTGTGCTCAAGAATTGTAACAAGCCGAAGTATATCAAAGTGGTAATCTGTGTCAATAAACAAGACTTCTACTTCCAGTCCGCCTTCCGATTTTGGAAGTATACATCGTGCTGTTAAATGATAAAGCATTTCTGTTTTTCCTGTTCCTTCTGGGCCATGAAATTCAAGAATATCACCTGTGTAAAATTTAAAAATGTCAGTCAAAATGCAGCAGCATTTGATAGCCTACAATAATGACAGCCTACAAAATGAAAAGTGTGCAAGAATGTTTAAAAAGACATTTACTGAAATTTTTTCCTTTTGAAAGAAAATCTAAATCCATTTGCCAAAACGGATTTGTATAAGCAAATACAAATAAATAAGGAAAGAAAAAGTAAATCACTAAATTTCACCTCTGAGAAAGGTGTTGGCTATTAATTAGCACAAAGAAAATTTGAAAAACAAAATGACATGGTTGAAATGGGCCTAAGGGAATCTCCTGGTGAGGGGGCCACATACACTCACACTTAAATTGGTGACATTACAGCACTAAGAATGAAGTGCCACAGATCTAGGGTCTTTAAAAGCTACTGACTACTGCACACACCATTTCTGGTAGTTAGTTATCCCATATCCAGTTTCTCATTTTTCCTTAAGTATAAAACCCCAGTTTGGGGGGAAAGCAATGTGCCCAGCTTAAAAACGATTCTTCTCAGTTTTCCTTGCAACGAGAGGCCAGCAGGCAGCACAGCTGTAGCCATTGAGACACAGGTGGATGTCTGTTGGGGTTTCCAAGTTGTGCTGTCCTCACACAGGCGCCACTTCTGTCTGCTCTGCCGCTCCCTCCTCTGAGATGACAGCGAAGATGACAGGTATACACTGAGGAGGGCAGACCCTAAAGAGGGTGGGGCAGGAAAACAGGAGGCACCCAGGACGTGGATGACAATAAGGAACCTCGCACACCAGCCTGCCTCCATACCTGTGCGAGAAAAATAAGCCACTTGGCTGGACTTCTGCTACGTGCAAGTGAAACAGTCCCTAACTAGGGCTTCTCAAAATTGCTGGCATTATGGGTGGAACAGTTCTTGATGGTACAGTTTCACACATACAAGGCAGTAAGAACCCACAGCTTTCAGGCCCTAAGTGCCAACTGCATCCCTCAGGTGAAAACACCCCTGCACGTTTCCAAACTGCCTCCAGTTACCCTTTGCTATATGAGTATTGCTTGATACTGTCTTGCTGAAATGACATCTGCACTGTGAATTATTTTCCTAGCATTATAAATCAAAGTCAACTACTCTAAACTTTGAAGACCCCAAATCTCTTTCTATATAGTTTCCAATAACTCTCTTTCATTGAGGACAGCACAGGTAAAATAAAACACCTGGGGAAACTGTCCAGCCTCCAGAGTTTTTCAAAATCCACTCTAAACAGTGGCCTACCAATTCTTGTTTGCTTGACATTTAATTAGTTTTTTAAAGATTTATTTATTATTTATTTATTTATTTTAGGTTGCATGGGGTCTTAGTTGTGGCATGCGGGCTCTTCGTTGTGGCGCATGGGCTTTTCTCTAGTTGTGGCGTGTGGGTTTTCTCTTCTCTAGTTGTGGCGCACAGGCTCCAGGGCATGTGGGCTCTGTAGCTGTGGCACGTGGGCTTAGTTGTCCCGCGGCATGTGGGATCTTAGTTCCCCGACCAGGGATCAAACCCGCATCCCCTGCATTGGAAGGCGGATTCTTTACCACTGGACCACCAGGGAAGTCCCTGTTTGTCACTTAATTTATGGCTGAACTACATAATTGGAAACACTATGTTAAAAATGCAGATTATTAGGCCCTAAACAAACTACAAGTCGATCTGAGAATCCAGTTACTTTATTTCCTGCTATTCCTAACAAACCATTGTATGTTGGAACATTCACAAATAATGTGTAAGAAACCTAGCAATCTGTCACCATACCATATTTAAGGTAGTATAAAACTTCAGCCAATTTCCACTATAATCTTATATACAATCTGCAATTCAAAATTTTAATTAAAGACTCCCCCAAACCCCTGCCCCCAAGATTCCAGCTTCAAGGAGTAGAACTATTTTCATATTAACAATTGTTCATGGATGCTCTTATTAAAAGTTAACACAGTGACTAAAACTATATTCAATCCAGATGTTCCAGTTACTCTCTCCTACTATATAACTGATGAGCTAAGTGGAAATCCTCCCTGCCCCCAAATAAAAATCTTTTACCGCCCTCTATTATAGAAAGAGAATAAGCTATATGCACTAGATGAAGAAACATTAACACCGAACCAATATTAATGATAGTGAAGGAAAGCTGAAAACACAGCTTAGCAAGATTAACCTGAAAGTGGTTTGGAGGACACAGAGGACCACGCAGAAACACGACACGGAGACCGACAAGCAGGCCACACGCAAGCACCTTCTCTCCTTTCCCCAGGAAAGGCAGCCTAAGAGTCTGAGAAGCAGTAACCAACCTTTTTATAGCGCTTTCCAAATGAAAAGGGACGGCTGCGTATCTCGCTGGATCCTAGTAACAACACTCTGAGGTGGGAAGACCAAACTGTATCATCTTCTGTCATCACACTTAACATGCTATATCATTTTTGATGATTTGCTTGACTGATTCTATTTCTTGTTCACTACTTTAAGGTGGGGACTTGAATACACTATCCCCAGCACAAAGTACGGTATCTTTTGAATGCATTTCATCAGGTTACTTTCTTCTTAAGAATTTCTTAGAAGAAATCTAAATAATGAAAACGTAAGTTCTCATTTGGTGAAGAAAGTCAATTTTGGAACACGGCATTTTGAAAGGGAGCAGGTGTGGTAGGGAGTTACAGGTGGGGATGTGGGCGTTGGTTAGCAGAGTCGGCAGGTGCGAAGGCCAGCTGCCCCTGGGCCCGAGTGTGCTGACACTTCATTTCTATCACATCTTCAGCCTCCTTCACTTAGAAGGTAAGGGTTAAACCTAAGGTAGTGATTTAAAAGTTCTCAGAGACAGGCTTGGAAGTGCTGTGTAAAAAAAAACACATAAGCAGAGCAGAGATTTTTTTTTTTTTCTTTTTTTTGCGGTACGCGGGCCTCTCACTGTTGTGGCCTCTCCGGTTGCGGAGCACAGGCTCCGGACACGCAGGCTCAGCGGCCATGGCCCATGGGCCCAGCCGCTCCGCGGCATGTGGGATCTTCCCGGACCGGGGCACGAACCCGTGTCCCCTGCATCAGCAGGCAGACTCTCAACCACTGCGCCACCAGGGAAGCCCAGCAGAGATTTTTAATTCACATAATCATGTAAACATCCTAACAAGAATTTAGCTTTCAAAAAAAAAATTAGCTTTCAAAATGGTAAGTTAAGATGTATCTCTAGGTGTCACAAATAAATATATCCTACAGCCACTACGATTTAAGATTCACAACAGTAATAAGAGGCTGGATATAGCAATCTAGGAATAAGTTACACAGAAATAGAGAACAGAAAACTCTTTGGGGGGTGGGAGTGAACCTAAAACTAAGATAGAGGGCCAAAACTCAATTCTTTGGATAGATCCACAGCATAAAGACAGATAAAACAGAAATTTAATAGAAATAGTACTAAATAATACTAAATGCAGCAGAAAAGTCCTAAAAATAAAAAAAATGGCAGGGGAGGGTAGGAAACCGATCACTAAACTGGTCCTGGATAGTAACCTTATAGCAGTAAATGTGTAGCCTGCAAAAGCACATTAATGTAAACATTTTATGAACCAAACTTTAAAAACTGAGATACTCAGAAGATAGGCTGAGGGACTTCCCTGGCGGTCCAGTGGTTAAGAATCCACCTTCCAATGAAGGGGACACGGGTTCGATCCCTGGTCGGGGAACTAAGATCCCACATGCCGCGGGGCAACTAAGCCTGCGCCCTCTAGAGCCTGTGTGCTGTAACTACGGAGCCCGTGTGCCACTAGAGAGAAGCCTGCGCGCCAAAACAAAGAGCCTGCACGCTGCAATGAAAGCTCCCCCGTCCTGAAACTAAGACCCAACACAGCCAAAAACGAATAAATAAATATATTTTTAAAGTATATTATTAAAAAAAAAAAGAAGTCAATAAGCTGAAAAGGCAGCACAGGGAGCAGTCACTGCCTCTAGAGTAAGAGCAAGGAGAGAAATCAGAGTGGGGGAAGGTAGGGACACATCAGGGACTAGAAAAGAACACAATGGTTTAGGCTCATTTAAAAAGTAAAAAATTCAGTAGCAGTTCCATGTGTCTGGAGAGTCAAATGAAGATAAATTAAGCTAAGAGAAATGTAACGTATTCTGAAGTAAAAGAGGAGGGACTCCACAGAGAGCTAGAAATACTTGATATTGGTCAGAGGGTAACTGTGAGATATCTCTGGATATTTTCTGGATTCTTAGAACAGGGGAAAAAATGAAAAGTTTGCCAAGTATTTTCTTGGAGAGAGGGGTGGTGCTCGTGAACATTTTTCATCATAACACAAAAGAGAAAGGCTTTCCTACATGGTTTAACAAGGCTTTCTAAATCCATGTGTTAACGAAGGACTAGCTGGTGTGGTGTAAATATGGACTCCTTAGAGCCCTGGTTCAGCACAAGTTAAACTGAGGCAAAGTTTAAGGCTGGCTAAGAGATTATTAGGTAGACAGAAACCCTCCTATCCTTTTACAGATTACTAGCAAAGTGGGGGAAAAGGTCATTTGTAACAACTGGGTAAGTAAAATCTGCAAACTTGGAAATTACACATAAATACTATCATTAACTTCTTGAACTAGATTCCCTGCAAATATGTTTAATGATGAACTGAAATCAATTTCACTGATTTTTATAAACACTTACTATCTAATCATAAGATCAAAAATAATATTCAGGGACCTCCCTGGTGGCGCAGTGGTTAAGAATCTGCCTGCCAATGCAGGGGACACGGGTTTGATCCCTGGTCCCAGAAGACCCCACATGCTGCAGAGCAACTAAGCCTGTGAGCTACAACTACTGAGCCTGTGCTCTAGAGCCCTCGAGCCACAACTACTGAGCCCTTGCGCCGCAGCTACTGAAGCCCACGTACTTAGAGCCTGTGCTCCGCAACAAGAGAAGCCACTGCAATAAGAAGCCCATGCACTGCAATGAAGAGTAGATCCCACTCGCTGCAACTAGAGAAAGCCCGCTTAACAGCAATGAAGACCCAATGCAGCCAAAAAAGTAATAATAATAATAATATTCAAACATTATGTTCTGTAGAGGAGACACGGTCCTTTTAACTGCATCTGAATCACTATCTCGTAAGTTTCTGTGAGCTGTTAAAAAAATCTCACCCTAGTCCTAGGCAAACTACTGCATATTACAACTGGTAGTTAAAGGAAACAATCCCCCCCCCAAAAATCACCTCTACAGTTTGACATTAGACAAATTAAACTAAATCAGAAAATCTGGATGGTTTGGCCTTGATAGTTACTCTCACAAATAGAATGAGTAAGGGGTTTGGGTAACAGATTGTCGGAGTAAGTTCACGAATTTAAAGAGCCTTCAAAATCAGTAAAAGAAAGAAAAGCCAAAAAAATACACCATCTAGGTACCAACCTACTAATTGTATAACAAATATGTTGAATTTGTAGAGTACAATCATTATAGTACTGAAGAGGTAATGAGTCTGTATATGGTACTGAATAAGTACTATCCAAAAAAAGTATTAAAAATATGTTTTACAACAGCGTTAGAGACCCCTGTAACAGCTAAATCGCTTACAGCTTCAACTTGAGCTTCCCTATAACAGTTTCTGATAAACTGCTGTTGTTGATAAATTACTCTTATAATCCCAGTCTTATGTATGCTGTTGCTCCCATGAATATTCATCTAACCAGTTCTTTTTTTCCATCTAACCAGTTTTATAGCTCTAAGAGCTATCATAGTTTTAAGTAAACTTTTTTGTTAGTGACTGAACATAATGGTGTTTTTAAAGTTTCTATAAATGTAATATTCAAATGTATAAGCTGTGCTTCAAACCTATTTTTTTTTTGTTTTCATTTTATTTATTTTTGGCTGCACTGGGTCTTCATTGCGGTGCGCAAGCTTCTCATTGCGGTGGCTTCTCTTTGTTGGGGAGCACAGGCTCTAGGCGCACAGGCTTCAGTAGTTGTGGCACGTGGGCTCAGTAGTTGTGGCTCTCGGGCTCTAGAGCACAGGCTCAGTAGTTGTGGCACACGGGCTTAGTTGCTCTATGGCATGTGGGATCTTCCCGGACCAGGGTTTGAACCCGTGTCCCCTGCATTGGCAGGAGGATTCTTAACCACTGCGCCACCAAGGAAGTCCTCGAACCTATGTTTTAATGTCAGTTTCGTAAGGTTCAACTTAATAATATCCTTTCTGATAGAATAAAAAGAGTTCAATCTTTTGTCTAACATGTTTGATCAAAATTTGTCATTTATTATTGATAGTTTAGAATTTTTTTTTAACTAACAGATATGCTCTATAGGAAATACTAAAAGGAGTCCTGCAGGCTGCATGAAAGGACAGCAGTAGACAGTAACAAATCCAAATGAGTTAATAAAGAACATAGGACTACATAGGTAAATATAAAAGACAGTATAGGTGTTTTATATTTTTAATTATTTTTTCATCTGATTTAAGATTATTAAATTATTAAATAATTATTAAATTATTTTTATATTTTTAATTATTTTTAATTATTTTTCATCTGATTTAAGATTATTAAATTATTAAATAATTATTAAATAATTTTTATATTTTTAATTATTTTTTCATCTGATTTAAGAAACAACTGCATTAAGTAATTTTAATGATTTTAACTAAGCAAAATTTTAAGTGTGTTTAAGGGCATACCGTATATAAATATGTAATTTAAAACAGCACAAAGGAAGGGGACAGGAATGGAGTGATACGGTAGCAAAGTTTTTTATAAAATATTGAAATTAAGATGGTATTTAATCCAAACCAGATTGTTATAAATTAAGATGGTAATTGTAATCCTCAGGGCAATCACGAGGTAAATAACTCAAAGAAAAAAAAAAGTAAAAATAATGACAAGGAATTAAAATGCTACACTAGAAAATATCTATTTAACACAAAAGAAGACAGTAAAGGATGAATAGAGAAACGAAAGACGTAAGACACATATAAAACAGATAGCAAAATGGCAGTCATAAACCCTATCTTAACTAATAATAGTAATAAATGGATTAAACTGTCCAGACAAAAGGCAGATTGACAAAATGGAATAAAAAAACATGATCCAACTATAGGCTGTTTACAACGGGCACACTTTACATCTCATGTCACAAGGCTGATAGTAACCAAACAGTAACCAAAAGAGAGCTGAAGTGGCTAGCCTATTATCAGACAAAGTATACTTTAAGACAAAAACTGTTATTAGAGTCAAAGAAGGACATTTTGTTTTTTTATTGTGGTAAAAGATGCTTAATACCATTAGCCGTCAGCGAAATGTAAATCAAAACCACAATGAGGTATCACTTCATACTCACTAGGAAGGCTATAATCAAAAAGACAGACAGTAACATGTTTGCAGGAAGTGGGGAAATTGGAACCATTATACACTTCACTGGAACCACTGGAACCATTATGCACTTCACTGATAGTGGCAAGTAAAATGTGGCAATTCCCAAGCAGCTACTTTGGAAAACAGTCTGGCAATTTTGCCAAAGGTTAAACACAGAGTTACCATGCAACCTAGCAGTCCCTCTCAGAGGTATTATCCAAGGAAACTGAAAACATTTCTCCACAGAAAAACTCGTACACAAAATGATCATAGCAGCATTAGTCATAACAACCAAAAAGTAGAAACAACCCAAATGTACACACCAACTGATGAATGGGTACAATAGAATATTATTATTCAATAAAAAGGAATGAACTACTGATGCATGCTACAATATGACAAATCTTGAAAATATTAAGCAAAGTGGAAAGAGTCAGTGACAAAACACCACATACTGTATGATTCCAATTACATGAAATGTCCAGAAAAGGCAAATCTATAGAGGCAGAAAGTAGATTAGTGGTTGCCTAGAGCTAAGGGATGTGAAAGGAAATGGGTAGTGACTAGTAATAGGCAACGGTTTCTTTTTGGGGTGAAGAAAATGTTCTAGAATTGATTGTGCCGACAGATGCCTAAGTGTGCAAATTGTACACTTAAATGGGTGAACTGTATCTCTTTAAGGCTGTTATATTAAAAAAGAAGAAAACCACCTAAGCACACTACCTTCTTTCTAGTTCTCCCTAGTGTAGAGGGGCCAGTAAAACAAATGGGTATTATTCTCCCTATCGCAAAAATATTAACAGAGCTACCAAGTACCGAAGGACTTTCCCGTGATTCTCAAACTTGTAAAGAATAAAAATAAATAACAAAACTCCCATTAAATACTGTGCTGGGATAAAAGAGGTTTTCATACTGAAGGCTTAACTGCAAATAAACCAAACCCCATCTCATCTGACACAGATAATGAAGGCTTAAAAGTGTCTCATAAAAAAAAAAAAAAAAGTGTCTCATCATCATCTTTCTCAGTTTTTAATTTCACAGTGTAACCTATATAGGCTGTTGCTAGAAGTGTGTGTATGTATATGAACATACGTGGGGGAAAAACTTGTTTTATAAAACTTAATTTATGACACTATATTTTGGCTTGAGATTGTGTTTTTACCATGCACAGGTGAATCTTCATCAGCAAACAGATGTGGTTCTATTTCTTTCAAGGAACTTCTACCTTCCAGTCGGGCAAGGAGCTTGTGAAAGGGAAAAAAAAGAGAAGGAAAACTCATTGTTTAAAAATATAAAATCCTAGAAATCGACATTTATTCAATTTTCCAAAAGTCTGTAAGAGACTTTTCATCATTTTGAGGATCTGAAGGAAATTATGAAATAGAAAATACAGTCTAGGAGAAAAGTTGTGTTCATTTATTCAGAAAATACTTTATTTTTTGTTAATGTACCATATACAGTTGGTATAAAATGAGTCCCTGCCCTCAAAGAAGCTGATAGGGTCTTTGGGACACAGCACCAAACTGCTAATTGCAAAGTATTTACCTTCCTTACTCATTATAATTATCTTTCTCACTCTGCTCACCACACTTGTTATCAGGTTATCAGCTTTTAATCTGTCTGCCCATTATATCGCCAGCTCCTTATCTAGGGAGGGGGGGGACAGAGAGAAAGGTGGAGAAGAACTTCCCTGAGAACCTCCCAGTGAATTTGTCAATTCGTGAACAGGGCACAAGCAGGCATACCTGGCAGATGGGACATCAGCACAGTGTGTGGGTAAACTATAAGCAGATTTGAATTGCTAGAGCTTGTGGCACGAAACTGGCAGGAGATAATGAAGTCCTAAAAGAACAGAAGTCAGATCACAAAGGGTCTTGGATGTCACCTTTAGGAGTTTGCTCTTTGGCTTGTAGATAAGAGCAAGGGGTTTTAAGAAGCAATCTAGAACAGTTAAGAGTAGACAGCTAGGTCTTTGGGCCTGAGGTTTCTCATCAGTAAAGTGAGCAAAACAAACAGTATTTCCCTCACAAGACTGTTGAGGATTCAGTGTGTTCCGAGAGTGCCTGGCACAGAGTGAGCATAAGCTATTATTATCTGCATTTCAAACAGATCATCTTGGTGGCTACCGAGGGGATAGATTTGAGAGCAAAGCCAGATGCGGAGAAAAGGCCCAAGTCCATCACACTAACCTGGAGAAGTGCCTGTACCAAGACAGAAGGAGCTAGAACTACAGGAAGCAAAATTCCAAGACAGACTGAAATGTCAACGTGGGAAATATAATCAAAGTTGATTCTCAAGGTTCTAAGGAAACAGTACAGATTTGACAACCCTTCTAAACAACAAAAATGCGTATCACAAACGAAGAAAAGCAGTCATCCTTTGTGGGTTTTTTTTTTTTCTTTTAAACAGAAGCAAAAGTTTTTGAAAGAGTTCCTGCAGTGATGAAAAGGTTCTATGTATTAATTTGGCAAATATTTACTGAATGTCTACTATGCACAAAGCACTACGGCAGGTAAAATGGAGACTACAGAAATGAAGATAATTAAGCTACCCTCAAAGAACCTGCAGTTAGGTCCTCTAGGAGATGAGATTTTATCACAAAACACGCTAAAGACTGCTAACTACACTCAAGAGTGCTTTGAGTTAGAACAGAGCTTCTGAGGGCAAACCTGTGGTCAATTATTTTCATAAATATTAAGACATTATTTGTCTTTCTCACTATGCTGACACTTGCACTGATGGTGCAGCAGCAAAGGTGGGTAACACTGCTGGCACCCAGCACAATCAAGGCAGTGGCATCAAACCATATTAGTGCACACGGTACTCTTCACCACTCACAGAAGAACAAAGAAGCAAGCGAAACTATTTTTGCATAAGAATGTTTTTGATGTGGCAGTAAATAAGTATTGACTCCATATTAAATCATAACCTTTGAGTACTGTTGAAAATATTCCCTGTGATGACGTGGGAAACGTATTAGTAGGAAAGAATTTAACCTTGACCAAAGAGAGGTCTGGCCTTTGCCCTTGGCTCCTGGGAAATAATCTCTAAGCCTCTTGGAAAATCCTGCTGATAAAAGTGTCTTTGTTTACCTGGGGGCCCTGAGCCACACCAGATAGTCTCACAAGTATCTTCACCTAAAGGTGAGGGCTTTGGGTCAGCTCAACCTCTGCATAGTGGCTGGACACAGAGGCCAGCTGGTTGGGGGGCTGACCATGTCTACATGACAAAGCCGCATAAACACTCTGGACACCAAAGTTCAGGGGAGCTTCCCTGGTTGGCATACTGTCCCTCACTGTTGCTGGGGACAGTTAGCACCGTCCATACTCCACTAGGACAGGACAATTGGAAGCTCCATATTTGGAATTCTGGATTTTGTCCCATTATATCTCTTCCCTGGGCTGATTTTAATCTGTATCCTTTTGCTGTAGTAAACTATAACCATGACTAAGCTTTCAGCATATTCTGTAAGTCCTTCCAGCAAATCACTAAACCTGAAGGTGGTCTTGGGGACCCCCAAACATGCAATTAATGTCAGAATGAGTGAGGTCACGAGAACCTGGAACTCTGCAGTTGGTGTCTGAAGTGAAGGCAGTCTTGGGGACTTCCCCCAAGTTCACACACAGACAAGGAAAGCACTTTTGCTCCGAACTGAAATACAATGGTTTTTCTCTAGGAAAAGCACTTGTGTGATTACCTGAGCTGCATACTTTTTCATAAAACACCCTTTTATTTGAAAGAATGACTGACAGACAAATTAGGATTACACAGACTTTGTTATTTGGCAGACGTTTTACTGAAAACAAAGAAAGTCAGCTGGTCACTTTAAGGAAACTGACAGTATTTGTTGCCAATGATAAAATTTGAATTTTGGAAAACTTTTATCCACTACCGTGAGCTTGACAGCATCCCAATACTTAAAGCATTGGTGAAATCACTAAGTATTTTAAATTTCTCCATTTCACTGACAGATATAACCCACATAAACAACAACCTTTTGGTTATGGACGTTAACCGGAACTGCTGTGGTGACCATTTTGTACGACATACGAATACTGAACCATTTATTACGCTGTAACTCAGTCCTCAGGCCAAAAAGTATGAGAACCACTGGGTTAGAAGGTTGAGGGTCCAGAAGAAGAAGACAGAGAAACTTTCGTGGACAAGATGGAACACATGAAATGACTATAAAATGTTTTTAAAAGCATGTATACAAATGACCAACATCCTCATCAGAATGATTAAAGTGAGAAGCTACTCCAACTGTTTACCCTTACTGTCACTGCTCAAGATATTTTAGAATCCTCCTCTGGAGAATTCCTTGTAAGACAGAATTCAGAAAAGGATTAGAATTTTATTGACAGGACTCTTAGATGAAAATGGTATTACTCCTCTTATCAAACTGGCTGACTTTGCCGATTTGCATCTGACTTTCCACTATTACTAAAAAGTCAAATTCATTTTCAAAGGATGAAAACTACCTACCAATGAGAAATTTCAAAACAGTGTTTTACAATGCCAAAAGCAGAGTATACCGAATACAGAGGAAGTGAAAGTACCTCCCAGAATTTGGAAATAGATTAACTCTGACAAAAATAGATAATATTAACAATTTATAGAAGTCACTTGATGGGATGAGATATCTTACAAACCTAAGCAGAAAATACCCTAAAAATTTGGCATTAACCTGACCATTATGTAAACTAAAATGAACGATGTTGTCCAGATTTGAGGAATAAGCTGAAAGAAGCAAGGTAGAATCAATCTAGAGTTTCAGAAGGGCAAAGAGTAAATTAAGCCAGGGTAAAGGGAACCAAAGTAAGTTCTGTTTGACATGATAGTTTAATCCTTTTAGGGAAGATTAACACATCAGGCAAACAAAGCAGGGTGATGGTAGCTATTAAGATAATTCAACTATTTCTCTTGATTCTCTAAGCAACCTTTCTGAGCGCAAATTTCCTAACTGGGAAAGAATACACAGTGGACACAACAATTTTACTCTATTTGGCAGTTCACTAATATTGTAAATTAATAGATTTGGCATTTGGTTTGTAAATCAGTATCTGCCAGGTTTTATTATCATAACAATAGCTAACTAATAATAGCTACTATTTGTACTTGCTGTGGTACATAATTTATATACATTATCTCTTTAATTATCACATTAACTCTATTTGTTATCATTCTATTTTTCAGATGAGAAAACTAGTAGACGCCAGAGTTGGGATTTAACTGAGATCTCTGGCTCCCCAAGCCTGGAATTCTTCCCCTGTGCTACACAGCCTCAGAATCAGTATCACTGAGTCTGAAAAAATCTGAGTACAGGGATGACAGTTTTTGGACCTACTCAGCCGAAGATCAAACCAATCTGAGGTCCTGTCTAGGCAATTATCTGGTCTCTCTCGACCATCTCTCTTAGCACTCCCTCTAACATCACAAGGAGCCCCAAATGTTTTCAACAGCAACATCAATACTGGAGCTAGTATACGGTCTGCAAAAGGGGTAATACTCAATTATACAGATATTATTTGGTAAAAATTTCAAGCAAGTCAAGTGTATTCCAGGAACTGAGTAAGGTGCATAGATACAATACCTTACTTACATAGATACAACAGACACAGTTCCTATCCTCAAAGAATTTAATGAGGGAGAGTCAACGGTTTAAAAAGTACGATAAAGTATGGTAGGTGCTATAATATCAATAGAAATAACATGGGGCTCTGTGAAGGCATAAAAAAGGGACAGTCGATTCTCATCTGTGTGAGAGGCAACTTTAACTCTGAAAGAGAGATTTAGCATGTAGTTCTTTCAGGCACGTACAAAATATTCATTGATAGAGCAATGTCCTTTCCCTATTCTCTCAATTAAATGCTCTAAGGCCTAGACTATTGAATGAATGAAAATTCTACACATTCCTCAGGGCCAGCTCCTTCCATGAAGCTATTCCTATACTTAGGAACACATTACCTACCAGGCTCCCTCATCTGGATGTAAGAGCTTGAAAGGAACTGGCTCACCACCAATTCCAAAATGCTTTACATTTGGCAGAAACTTAGTAGCTACCTATTAAGTTGAAGGTAAACAGGTCACAGGTAGGTAGAATTGGGGGAGGATGGAGAGTAAAAAGAACCTCCAACTACATAGATTTTCACATGTGTGGACAATCTATGCAAACTTCTACTAAACAAAAGTCCTTGACTATTCTTACAGCTTTCATCAAAGTTCTTAACACTCATTAACAAAA